TGTATTACTACCACCTATATCTAGTTCCAAAACATTTTCATCACTCCGAAATGAAACGCTGTACTCGGTAAAGAGTCACTCTCAATTTTCTCCTCCAGCCCTTGGCAACCACCAGTCTTTCTGTAGACTCACCAATTCTGGATATTACACATAATCATGCATTTATCAGTACTTCATTCCTGTTTATGTCTGAGTAGTATTCCAGTGTAGGTATATGCCACAATTTATCTGTTCATCTGTTATACGTTGCAGTTATTTCCATGTCATGTGCAAGTTTTTTGCTCTGGGTCTCTGTTTTCAATTCTTTGGGGTATACATCTAGGAGTGGAATTGCTGGGTCATATGATAATTCTGTTTAACTTTTTGAGGAACTGCCAAACTGCCTCATTGGCTGTACCATTTTACATTCCCACCAGTGATGTATGAGTGTTCCAATTTCTCTACATCCTGGCCAACGCTTGTTATTTTGCTTTTTAAAAGAAAAATAGTAAAGCCATCCTCATGGATGTGAAGTGGTATCTCATTGGGGTTTTGATTTGTAATTCCTTAATGACTAACGATATTGAGCATCTTTTCATGTGTTTGTTGGCAATTTGTATACTTTGGAGAAGTGTCCAAGTTCATTGCTCAGTTTTTAATGGTTTTTTTGTTGTTGAGTCTTATGAGTTCCGCATATACTCTGCTTATTAGACCCTTAACAGATAATATGATTTGCAAATATTTTCTCCCATCCTGTAAGTTTTCTTTTCACTTTCTTGATAATGTCCTCATATTTTTTAACTTAGTTTAAGTAATATGTATATTTGGAAAAAAAACTAAACAGTACAAATGGGTGAGTTTGTGTATCCTTTTAGTGACAATCTGTGCATATACACACAAATGTAAATGTCTTTTCTCTTCTCCCTCTCCCTTTTTTATATAAATGGTGCTTTTTTTCCACTGAATGTATCTTGGCAATAGTTGTATTTCACTATATGTATATCTACCTCAGTTTAACAGGTGTGAAGTATTCCATTGTATAGATACAGCATAGTTTATTTAACCAATACCCTCTTTTGTGGACATTCAGGTTGCTTGAAACTGCTGACTGTTAATATATATACAAGTTAGTATAGATATATACAAGTTAGTATATCTCCAGGATAGATGCTGAAAAGTGGAAACTTATTAAGTATGGTTTTCTTCATATTTGGAGGTGGTTTCCTAAGCAGTATTAATCTGCTAAATTAATAAAAATGTCATGTTGGTTAGTTTTTTTTATGTTAAACTTCATAGTCTCTCTCTTCATATATATATTATATGAAAAAAAATAGAAGTAGCAGAACCAGCCTTACACAAAGTTATGAAAAAGAAAGCTGGCCCTTCCTTTTCTCAACTCTGTTATACTGTTTTCCCTTCTAATCTCCCTGAGTAACAGTTGTTCTCAGCTAGGAAACAATTTTTCAGTATGCCATACTTTCTAGTGTTAAATTTTAACCCTTCTCTGGTTGTAGAAAGAAAAGCATAACATGATTTTTAGAGCAGAAACTTCTGAGCTAACAAATCCTCAATTTTTAAAGTGCAAAAAAAAGACCCTGAGGACTGCCCTGCTTTTTCTGCAGTTCACGTCAGTGCTAAGAGAGCCCAGGTCTCCAGTTTCCCACAACAGGGAAATAATACTCACTGTAGTGTCTCACCTCATTCTTGTGAAAGAACTTGAAAATGCTACTTCTGTCTTGGTAGAGGTTCTGGGGAGCAGAAAAATTACGACTTTCTCTGACACTAAAATAAATCACACGTCTGTTTCACCAACTATATCTAGGACCTCTAACCAATACTGGTACATGAAAAAGTGATTTTTAAAAGTATCTTAAATTGTTGGAATTCCCCGGCGGTCCAGTGGTTTAAGACTGCACTTTCATCGCCGAGGGTGGGGGTTCGATTCATGGTCAGGGAACTAAGATCCCACAAGCCGGTGGTGCAGCCAAAACAATAAAAAAATAGAGTGAATTTTTTTAAAGGTGTCTTAAACTGTTATTTTTGTTTCTTGATTTCAAAAGTGACTGAAAATGCTTCTATCAACCACTATAAAAGCATAGAGATTAAACAAATGATGTTGGAAGTGAATCTTTTATATAAGTTCATAACAATTTTGTTACTGAGAATACGCTTTACATTTTGATATCCCTGAGAATAGGCAATTTAATAAGGTAACTGATCTGTAAAGGAATCTGTATTTTTCATGAGTATATGTTTATTGAACTCCCTTTATGAAGAGGTCACTGTTAACACTTGAAATATAAATATGAGGTACGGGCCTTGTCTTATTGGAGCATAAACTGGTAAGATGAAACATTTCAGACAATGTTACTCTGCCCTCAGTTTTCAATCTAGTGTTCAGTTCACTTAAATAAAGTATTTTGATTGATTATAATTCTGATCCTTTAGTATAAAAGAATAAATGTAGCGCTAGAAGCTATCTGAAGATGGTACCATGGATTCAGATGGTTCTATCATGAACTAAAGCAAGATACCCTTAAGAGGTAACTACTTAGAAGACAACAGCGTACTTTGTAGTTTTAGTTCTAAGAATCTGATGTATATTTTAACTTAGCATCTTGGCCATGGTATTTGATTTTAACTGGGAAGAAAGTTACTGGTACCCACTGGCTAAGTTAACTGCATAACAGTTTGAAGAAACTGAGCAATGTGAGGATCAAGGCTTCGTACAGTAGGTCCAGAGACTAGATTTCTATCCTTAACTTGAAGACAAAACAAGCACACTTAAAATGCACATTTATGGGATAAATTAATCCTTTTCTCCTAAGTGTCACAACTTCACTGACATCTATAGTGGACAATGCGCTACAATATCCAGATATAGTCTCACGTCCCCATCCCCACACACACATCCCTGAAGCACTCATCTCCCAGCTTCTGGGAATGTTCGTGGCTGATGGCTCTCAGCTGAGTCTCTCAGGTGTTGTCTTCACCCCAAGGTTCAGCTCCTTGCATCCAATGACTGACGACACAAGGATGTAAGTCCCACCGCCTGCCTCAATACCCAGCTTCCGGCCACCTCAGCTCTGAATTCCGCTGAGGACTTTCCTGACCGCATCCCAACCCAATTTCTTCCTCTTTCCCAGTCCTGCTACTTTTACTCCGTCAGAGGTGTCGCTCTCGAAAGCATTCTCATTTAAACGTTCTGCACCTTAACCTTCACCTCTGAGTCTATTTCCCTAGGGAACTGGACCTGTGGCCACATTTTGAACTCAAAGCCAGGAAAAAATCATTTGATTTTCACTTAGACAACCAAGCTGTTTCTGCTGAATTTTTCTCACCTCTTCTTCTATTTGTAGGCCAAGGGGAAAGAATTACCTTCAACCTTTTCTGAGTCTTACTGTTTTATGAAAATGTAGAAGAAGCCGATCACTGCTTCCTTCACTTGGTAAAGCATCCAGGCTCCCCGCCCACTCCATGGACACCCCAAGACATTCTAATACCTCTCTCCAAAGTCAGGGATGTTAAAGGAAAGCAGCTGAATTCCAATTAGTATCTTCATTTCTAATATCATACCTAGATGGGATTAGTCTTTCATTATAGTGTTGTTGATATAGCAGGGCCTTCATTTTACTTTTGTTAAAAGACCTTCCATGCCTATGGTGCAGTACTGGCATTTTATGGATTCAGTAAGCTGTGGATATTTCAATTTCATGTGCATTTATCAGAATTGGGTTGAACTGGTACATCACAATCTCAGAACTTTAAATTCATCTTTATTAAAGCCAAACCTCTATTTAAAATATGTGTAGAAAACAAAGTATTTGGTGTTTCCACATCCAAAATATTCACTAAAAGGTTAAGAGGGAGGAGGTCTTGTTTCTAAGGGTTTACGAAGGAAATCTATCTCTAGTACCAAATACCATACTGAAGTTATAATATTCTTTGGATCTTAATCTGTTTAAGCTGTTGTTTAAGCTTTTACATTGTGAAAAAAGGGCAGGGTATGTGTGTGACTTCACAAAGTCTATCAAAGATAATCATAAAACAATGTAGCAATCAATTAACCCAGAGATCAATACCCTCTAAATGTAATGTATCTTTTTCAATCAACAAATATTTGGTTATGATATACTAGATACTGGGGAGGCTATAATGAAAGGGGCAGAAGCATTCTGACCCTCAAGAAGCTCACAGTCTTCTGGGGAGCACAGACATTGAATAAGCAATTACCAGTACAATACAGATGGAGATTATACTTGGGGAGCTAACCTCCCATGGCGGGATGAGGTTTAAAACTTTTTTTTATTGTCATCCTATGCAGTATAAGGAGGCAGGGAAAGGCTAGGAAAGAAATACAAAAACAACATTTGACAAAGGGTAGAGCTGAAGGGAGAAACTATAGCTTTTGATTTGAAGATAACCTATTCCCAGCACATAGAGGTCCAAGATTTTAGGTGCTATCAAAAAGTAACTAAACTTTTATTTTGACTTACACCTTTGTTTATATACCTAAATCCGAAATTACGCCAGAAAGCATGTGAGACTTTAGAAAACTCACATCCTAATCTCAAACAAGCAAAAGTATTTAAGATCTAAATGCAGTAGACAAAAGATTTCAAGAGTATTAACAGCTCAGGGAATGTCCATTAAACCTCATTTGTTTTTTTGGTTTTTTTGTGGTTTTTTTTCTTGCAGTACGCGGGCCTCTCACTGTCGTGGGCTCTCCTGTTGCGGAGCACAGGCTCCAGACGCGCAGGCCCAGCAGCCATGGCTCACGGGCCCAGCAGCTCCGCAGCATGTGGGATCTTCCCGGACCGGGGCACGAACCCGTGTCCCCTGCATCGGCAGGCGGACTCTCAACCACTGTGCCACCAGGGAAGCCCAAACCTCTTGTTTTATACTCAGAAAATTAGAAAACGTATGTCTTACAATGTGTTTTAAATGATTTGCAGGATCTAGCCTCACCAAAACAAGCTCACTGCTTTGAAGATGCCTTTATACCAACCCTTCATCACAGCACCAGTGAAAATTGTTTATTGAGAGGGAGCAGTATGGGATACAGAAACAACATAAACCAAAATTGCACACTTTCCTTTAATGTTAATTGAATTTCAGAGTGAGTAAAACGTAACTAAAAAGTCACAGCAATGGGACAAAGTGCTTTGTTTTAAAACTGCACATTTGCTTTGCCTTTTGAGAACCTTTGATTAGACTCTTTGTACAGTAAGCCATTTCATTACATATGGTTATATTCCCAGTCTAAGACCTTAATTGACACACTCAGTGACAACATTCTTATAAATTATAGCCAACTATAAGTCCTCCCTCAGGCTTCTCCTCTGTGCTTTGTAAATATGTACATCTTTTTCAGGATCATAGTGAACCTTCCTCACAGTAAATTGCCTCTCAAGCATCGCTAAGAAGTTGTGATCCCGTTCATAGCGAATTCGGCAAGCTAAAAGAATCACAGAGTGGTTGCTACAGAGATGTTCCAATGTTTGAAGAAGATCTGTGAATGTTTCTTCTAAATATATGATATCAGCTCCAAGTATCAGGTCAAATTCTCCAGGTGAAAAACTCCCCAAATTCTGTCCCCAAGTCAGCTCCTTAACAACAGCTCTGGGCTGGATATGGGGAGGTAAGTTGGCTTGAACATTTGATTTAAGAAACTCTAATGCTACTTTTCGATCCGTGATAGTCACATGAGCACCTAGAACATGGGACAGAAAGTAATGCACACATCAGTACAACTAACAGGTAGAGGGATCAACTTAAACAGCGGGGTGAGTGTCTCTAAATATTCCACCTCATAGACACAATATGATGCCTTTGTGGAGAGCTGTGACATGTCAGAACCATGGCCAGATGCTCCTTCTCTACTGCCTGTAGGTAAAAGTGAAACTTGGTTTGCCTCTATGACACACTTGCTGTTTGCTGAAGTTATGCCTATTAAATACAGGTGATAAGCTAGCTGATGCTTCTGAATTGTGCAGACAGAAGTGGCCCACCCTTCACAGGTATCTACCATTATACTTCATTCATTAGGTCACCATCTTTAAGTCAGTAGGCCTCAGGGTAAAATGGAGTCCAAAGATGAAAAATCTGGGAGCCAACGATTATGAGGATGCCAAGATACCATAAACCGGGCAAGGTTCCTTTCTGGGGCTAAAGCTTTAAAAAGAATCAAGGAAAAGATTAACTGGCTACTAAGAAATCTCAGTCTTCCTCTCCTTATGCTGTCATGAAGCAGACCATCTATATGTATTCATGCAATTCATATATAATTATTGAAAAATAGTAGTTAGAAATTACTAGATTGTATTAAAGTACTGTAGGTTAAAATGTGAGGTAATGTTCTCTATGTGCTAAGTTTCTACGTGCGATGTGTAAAATGAATGAGGCAATATTTTATTAATCTGTTTCTTGAGGGTTGTTTACCATGAACCAAGAGATCCAACTCTTTGAACCAATATGACCGAGAGAAGTCTGAACTGGTAGGTATCCTTCAGGAGAAGCCACCACATAAGGTCAGCCCTGACATACCTCATCTACATTGCAGTAACACTATAGTACATGTAATCCTGCTTGGTTTTGACCCCATAAATTCTGAAACTTAAAAATTATGTTTCACTCTTTCCTAAAATTATTTCTCATCTGCATCCTTCAGTCTGTAATCTTCATGGGTAATCCCCAAGAGGATCCCAGACCATTTCAGTGGCAGCTTATACTGAATGTTTCTTATCTTGACATGTAACATTAGGACAGTATGTAATTCAGTTTGACATCTGACTCAGTCCTGAGTGGGATACTATGAAAATGTGCACGTTGTTAGATGCATGCACCTACCACTCTGACCGTTTGTTGCTAGACAGAGTGCTGCCCAATGAGCAAAATTCAGTGATACTTTTCATCTCTCCTGATAACATAAATCACAGACAGCCTTTTCCTGGTTTAACTTAGAACTTTACCTCTGGATTTCCTGACAGTCTACAGAGCACTCTGTTAGGAATACTGGAGTGATCTGGTCTTGTGCATGTCACCTCAGTGTTCCTGTTAATAGCTCTTAGATGGAGACCTCCTCTAACTCCTGTCTCAGGGATTTCTGAGGCTACTTCTAACCTGCCAGGTGTTCCAGGAGTTTCAGTAGGATCTTAATGTCAGTTGACCATTCCCCATAATGTCCATCAATTCTACAAACATCCAAGTGTCTACCAACAGCATGGGAGAAAAACCCCTACCCTCATAGAACTTACATTCAAGTGAGGAGATAGGCAGCAAGAGGTGTTTTTAAAAGTAGGGTATCTAGTATGTTAGTTGGAGATACACACTAAGGAAAAAAATAAAGCAGGAAAGAGAGACATAAAACATCAGGAAGTAAGAGAGTTGGGTAGAAAGGGAAGGCCTCACTGAGAAGGTGACTTAGGTGAAGGAATAACCGAATACATATCAGGGGGAAGAACATTCCTAGCAAGTAGAAGAGCAAGTGCAAAGGCCTATAGGGGCAGGCAAGGAGGAGGCCAGAGGGGCTGGAAGGAGGGATAAAGCAGGAGGAGACAAATGAGAGAAGTAACAGGTTAAAGAAGTAACCGGAGGGAGGCAGAGCAGCTGGGGTTCACAGGTTAAGTTCCAAAAAGGCTCTGGCTTTTTCTGAGTGAGATGGGAAGCCACTGGAGAGTGCTGAGCAGAAGTACTAGTGATCTGACTTAGGTTTTTGTTTTTTTTTTTTTTACGCGGGCCTCTCACTGTTGTGGCCTCTCCCGTTGTGGAGCACAGGCTCCGGATGTGCAGGCTCAGCGGCCATGGCTCACGGGCCCAGCCGCTCCGCGGCACGTGGGATCTTCCCAGACCAGGGCACGAACCCGTGTCCCCTGCATCAGCAGGCGGACTCTCAACCACTGCACCACCAGGGAAGCCCTAGTTACTCGATTTTTACCACCCAAATATTCAGCTCACAGAATATTATCATCTTGCCTGTGGTTTTGTTTTAGGAGTTTTTGTTTATTTGGGTGAAGGGTATGCAGGATGTGTTAAGTTTCTTTTAATCTATCAGTTTCCTGTATTTATTTATTTATTTATTTATTTATTTTTCTCCTGCAATTTAGGGAAGAAACAAATCATCTGTCCTGTAGTTTCCCACAATTTAGATTTGGCTGATTATGCCATCTGTATAGTTTGACATGTTCCTCTGTGCTCTGTATCTCCTGTAAATTTGTTTGAGTTGAGTCTGATTTTTTGAACAAGAGTATTTCAGAGGTGGTGGTGGTATTTTTCATCAAGAAGATGTAATAGCTGGTAGGCTCTATTTTTGTGATGTGAGCAACCACAAATACTCAATGCCCAGATCCTTAATTTATTAGATTCGTTTTGCATTTATTTGTTGAGTAAGCTTCTTTCAATTCCTACTTGGTTATTCATTTTGTAGAGGAATTGTTTGAATAGGAAAGGCGGGATAAATTTTGCTCTCTCCCCTTTTATAACCCAGATTTCAAAGAGTTGGTTTCTAAGTATCCTCCAAAGATGACAGATTGGGTTTACTTTAGTGTTGTTGTATCATGAACTATGCATTAAACATATCTGATGTATTTAAATCCATGCCATCATCATTATCGATGTTCAAATTGTCTATCTTTTGCCAATGGACTTTTGACACAAACCCAGTCATCCTCGATAGCTTCCTTGCTATCTGGTATGACAAGATATTCCAGGGTCAACTTATACATTTCCTGCTACAGAACTATAATCAGCCACTTATTAAGTTTTATTTTTTACTTTTTGGATGGGAGGAATAACAGCAAGTTTGTATGCTGATTAGAATGATCAGGTAGAAAGAGGGAAAAGTGATAATGCAGGAAAGAGAACCACCAGAACAACACCCTTGAACAGGCAAGAGAGGGCTGGCCCCGGAGAGGAGACACAGTCCACCTGCATACAGCATCAGGAACAAAGGCAGACGGTGGATGCAGACGCAGGGGGTGGTTAGAGACAGTGCCGGGACGTTACAGAAGTTCTCTTGATTGCTTCAATCTTCTCAGTAAAATAAGGAGAAATGTCATCAGCTCAGAGTGAAAGTGGAGAAAGGAGGACTGGAGGTCAGCAGAGAGTGAGCAGAGCTGGACTCCTCAGCAGCACGAAGAGCCCCCCAGAGGGTCCTGACCAGGCATTTAAAATGAGACCCAGAAGTAGTCTGTTTCCTCCAGCCACATTCAGCTACCTGGGTGCAGGCCTGGAACAAGTGGAGAGCTGCACGTAACCTTGTTTTGAGCCCAGTGAAGAGGATGAAGCAAGGAAGTGCAGGGTATTGATGGTACGTGAAGATGGTAATAAAATGACTGCCTGTGAGATTTATGCTGGGTAAGGAGGGAGATGAGACAATATTTAGTTCATGAAAAACTAATGGAAACTGACCCAATAAGACAACATAGCCTGCTGTCACTCACTTGGTAATGGAAAAAGTACATGTAAACATTTGTCATTACTTTTAGTTTTTAGTTTTGTAAGCAATGCCTTAATTTATTCAAATGTTGGAGCACAGAGCGTGCGCTAAAGATACAGAGATGGGTAAGAAAGTCCTTGCCCTCTAGGAACTGAGAGTCTCATGAGAGAGATAAATGTAATTATGAAGCAGTGTAGGGAGTAAAATATAGGAACATGGGTGTGCTAGGAAATTATGTGGTCACAAAGGAAAAATGCTTCGAGAGGAGCAGAGGTCGAAGAAAGATTTCGGAAGGAAAGGAAATCTGAGTTTACACTTGAAAGATGCGGCATTAACCAGAGGAAAGAGGTGAAGAGGGGAATTCAAGGCAGAAGGGACAGGCCAGAGGCAGGGTATGTGTCACTGGAACTTCACTCAGTGCAATTGTGCTGAGAAAGTCAGCAAAGTGAGATTACAGAGCCTCACTAAGAAGCCTGGGATTTGGCCTGCAGGCAATGGGAAGGCACAGGGTCACCCCATCACTTCTGCGTTTTACATGGGCCACCCTGACAGCTGTTGGGAAAAGTGGGTTTGATAAGACAGAGGTAGAAAGGTCAGGTGGGAATGTGGATAGAATCTTGCAAGAGATGATGAGCACTCCAGCCAGACAGCGGGAATGGAAAGGGAGAAATGGAATCAAGAAATAGTTAAAAGACCCAGCAGGGCTCAAGGGCCGGGTGGGCAGCAGGGAGGGCAGGTCAAGGAGTTGGCCTGAGTGACTACTTGGATAGTGATGCTAACAGAACAAAAGAGAAAGGACAAGTTTGGAAAGGGAATTAGAGTTCAAGTTTAAACACGCGCTGACAAATAGCCACGTAGAGACATCAACAGCTTTCATTTAAACGTACACGTTGAAAGTTCAGTGGAGACTTGCACTGGAATTACCAGGGCACGAACCCGTGTCCCCAGGCGGACTCTCAACCACTGCGCCACCAGGGAAGCCCCTAAAAGACAATTTCTTGCTGAGCATTATATTTAAGACAGCGGTCCTTAGACTTGGTTGGGCATCAAATCGCCTGGGAAGCTTTTAAAATCCAGATTCCTGACCCCAACCCAACTTACAGAACCCTGTCTTAAAGATGTGATTTTTTTTTTCTTAAGAATAGTTTTCAAGTAGTATAAAGGCTGAAGAGGTTTTTAAACGAAGAACCAGGATTTGAGAGTCAGAATTGGATTCAAATTCTAACTCCACAATCCATTAGCTTGTGACCTTGGGCAAGTTACTTGACATCTATTAAGCCTCCATTTCGCCACTTTGAAAAGAGCTCCAAGTAGACCTACTATGCCGGGTTGTGGTGAGGATGAAGGCCATAAAGACACAACACCCAGAACACAGGAACCGCCCAGGAATTAGCAGCTGTTTTTTCTTTTAACAAGAAAATCTCATCACCCTAGATTAACAGTCTGCATATCACTGACCATTTGAGGGGGAGGCTTTTTATTTTATTTTATTTTTTTAAATTTTTTTGCGGTATGCGGGCCTCTCACTGTTGTGGCCTCTCCTGTCGCGCAGCACAGGCTCTGGACACGCAGGCTCAGTGGCCATGGCTCACGGGCCCAGCCACTCCGTGGCATGTGGGATCTTCCCGAACTGGGGCACGAACCCGTGTCCCCTGCATCCGCAGGCAGACTCTCAACCACTGCGCCACCAGGGAAGCCCAGGGGGAGGCTTTTTAATGTAATTTGTCTTTTCCCCCCTCTCGCTCCAGTTAGAGTCAGAATGGATGCTTCCTGAGAGCAGTGACCTGCTGCTCTAAAATCATGACAGGCACGCCGTGGGTGTTCCCCAGAGTCGGGAATCAATGAGTAAGGTTACAAAAAATGAAAATAGCTTAAAAAGGGGAACAATCAGGGCTTCCCTGGTGGCACAGTGGTTGAGAGTCCGCCTGCCGATGCAAGGGACACGGGTTCGTGCCCCGGTCCTGGAGGATCCCACATGCCGCGGAGCAGCTGGGCCCGTGAGCCATGGCCGCTGAGCCTGTGCGTCCGGAGCCTGTGCTCCGCAACAGGAGAGGCCACAGCAGCGAGAGGCCCGCGTACAGCAAAAAAAGGGGAACAATCAACCTCTTTCTGACATTTCCAAAGCACTACCTATTCTAGTTCTGTTTCCGTTTTAAAGAGATTAACTTTTTCTTACTCTTAGGTTTCAGCATCAAAATTTCTCCAGCCTAATACTTTGTAGCCACAAATAATGAGCATGAAAAGCATGCCATAGCACAGAGAAATGTGCATGACATGTTAAATGAAACATCATATATGTGTGAAAATATACACGCACACACATAGGTACACGTATGGAATCACGATTATAACTATGATTAAAATACGGATGGAGAAAAGAATAGGAGGAAATATACCAAAATGCTAATGGTAATTATGTTGCAAAGTCATGAATAAGCAGAATCTTTGGTGGGTTTTTCCTTTTTTTTAGACTGCTTCTAGGGCTATTTTTGTAATAGAGTTTTATCATTTTTATAACAGAAACAGTAATTTTCATGATTTTCTAGTTCATCTCTTATTCCAGAACTATTTGGGTATCTACTGTGTGCCAGCTGCTGTACTAGGGCCAAGGACACACAGAATGAGACATGGCCCCATTCCTCAGGAGCCTCAGCCTGCCAGGAGAGACAGACACATGAAACAACTGCCTAAAGTGAAATGTGACAGAGCTGGGGCGGAGAACACCGAGCGCTGTGGGGAAGAGAAATAAGGGAGCAATTAATTCTGCTTTGGGGCAACCACAAGAACACCGTCTGCCATTCTGCTGTTCTCTCCCCTCCCAAAGTCCCCATCTTTTGTGGCAACAATTAACTAGTCCTTCGCTCTGTGATGGTCTTTGAAGAACCTTATGCTGGCTTTCCCAAGCCCACAGATCCAGATTTCTAGATCAGAAATGAAAATGCAGAGAACACTTGCTGAGCATTTACTTTGGGCCAGTCAGCGAGCTAACAGATTTCTATGCATGCTCTCATTTGATCCTTGTTGGTCAGTCACTATGGTTATTATCCCCAGTTTATTGGGAAACTGAAGTTTAGAGATTCAGCAACTTGCCCAAGGTGACATAGCTAGTAAGAATTAAAGGTGGTCAGAGCCTGCAGAGAGTGGACTTGTGGTTGGGGGATTTGAGGGCATGGTGGTGGGGAAGAAAGTATTGGGAGTTTGGGATTGGCAGATGCCAAACTATTGTATGTGGAATGGATGGACAGCAGAGTCCTACTGTGTAGCACAGGGAGCTAACTGTATTCAGCATCCTGTGATGGACCGTAACAGAAAATGCGTGTATGCATGGCTGGGTCGCCTTGCTATGCAGCAGAAGTGGGCACGGCACTGCGAACCAACTATGCTTTGATAAAATTAAATTGAAACAAAAAAGGTCAGAGCCAAGTGGGCCTCTAACCCTTTGCAGGTCACCACGCTCTGCTGTCTCGACAGCAGTGAGGAGACCCTGTTCTCGGGGGAGACAGAAGAAACCTCATTTCCCCTTCCAGCTAAGTCCTCTCAAACGTCACAGAGACGGGACTTAGTGCCATGGAAAGAAACGAACCTGGGCCTCTGTGTCTGACAAGCCTGGTTTGAGTCTCAGGTCACCATTGACCAGGACTTCAGAAAGTGGCTTAATCTCCCGGAATCCCAGCTTCACTGGAAAAATGAAAATTAAAAATATACCTAACATACACGGGGACGATATAAGGTCAACCTGAGGAGATCAAAAGGTGGTGTATCGGCTAGGGCCTCCTCAGTGGCTGAAAGTGCTGTGGTGTCAGACAGATGGACCTGCATCAGTTTCTATGTTCACACGTCCACCCATCACTCCTGCCCATGCTCCCCATCAAATCCCAGGAGGCACAATCTAAACAGAGAAAGGAATACTGAAAAAGATATGTTACCAGAAAAAGGACAGGACAAAAGCGGGGCTTTAGTGGGTGCTCAAGTACCTGTACACACTTCATGGAACTCTAGATCCTGACCACCCAAGTGTGGTCTGAGGACCAGCAGTTACGGCATCATCATCATCACCTGGGAGCTTGTTAGAAATGCAGGCTCTCAGGCCCCACCCCAGACCTACAGAAGCAGAAACTGCATTTTAACAAGCGCTCCAGGTGACAACACTGAAGTGAGGAATATTATACATTGTATCTCAGAGGCTGGTCTATCCAATCAAGGCACAGCTTGAAGTGTATGAGCAGGAAGTTGTAGAAAAGAGTCATCAATGAATTATAAAATAGAAATGAAGCTTAAAAATACTCTAGGCCTAAACTAATGTCTGTATGCCAAGCAAAAAACGACAAACCTTGGTATCATTTCAGAACTGCACACTGTTTAATAGATGTCAGTACAAACTGCAGGGGGGGCCAGCCCTCCCTAAAAGAAAAAAACTAGCAAAGCTTCCTCAGCAATGAAGTAACAGACTATCTGCTCTCCCGATCTCCTAGAGTTAAATCCGAGAGTACAGAGACAGCACCTAAACAGTAAAAAGCTATGTACACAAATAAGATAATTCTCTTTGAACTCAGTTGCCTTAAGCTCATATTATGGGCATCACAGAAGTGAAGTGGGCAAAGCAATCTCCCGTGAGAAGTATAAATAATAGGATGAGAGAGGGAGAAGGAATTAGCCTTCCTGGAGTTGAGAGCACTGCAGTTGGCCTGTGACTCATAATAAGTACAGGGGGAAAAAAGGAACACGGTAAGAGGGAAACTAACAATGAGCTCTGAGTCAGGAAAAGGTGCCCCTCCATGAGTTCCACTCACACAGGAGTGAGCCATGAGTCACACTCACCCAGCAGGGCAGCCACCATGCCCACCAGCCCCGTGCCAGCACCCAGCTCCACGGCAGAGCAGCCCCTGAGCTCCACAGCTCCCATCTCCAGATATGTGGCCAGAATGATAGCCTGAGTCAAAACACAGCATGACAATTTAGGTCAACAAGCGCTTTAGGGCCTGAAGGGTTTCAAGCAGGCTACATACTCCAAGAAGACATCACATACCCCCCTCCCACCGCAAGGTTCAATTCCCAGTGTAACAGCTCACACAGGAACTCAGCTGCTGCTGGGAGGTCACCTGGAGCAAGCACAGACACCGAGCTCCCCAGAACAGCTGCCCCAGGCCCCACCAGAGGCCCTTACGGGGGACAGCAGTGGTCAGTGACACTGACCACCCAGGATAGGATCCTGCTGAATCTGGGAAGGCTAACTTCTTACTGTGTCACAGCATTTTTACACTCAAGGTTTATAAAATCACTCTGGTAGAGCTGACATGAACAGTCTCTGTGATTCTGCTTAAAGGAATGTCTAGTTCCTAAACCAAGTTCAAGTCAGCAAGGCCACAACCAAAGGGAAAAAGCAGAGCAGCACCAAGGCTCCTGGAGTTTCCTCCCTCTCTCCTACTCTCCTGCATCCCTAACGCTCGTCACCCCAGAGAAGCTGGGCATCAAAAGGGAAGTTTTAGCCAAAGGTTTGGACTTGATGTGTGAGTTAGCATTTGCATATAACTCTATAAATCACTGTATACTGTTAACGTGATTTTAAAATATAATTTGTTCTTCATGGCCACATACTATTAGCATATAACGTAATTTTAAAATATAATTTGTTCTTCATGGCCACATACTATTAGCATACTTAGCAATTCCTCTTCTTGGTGAGAATGTAGGAGATTCGCCCATTCCTCGCTGTTATGTATCTTTATTACTCTTTCTGAGAAAACTTTTCTTGTAGTTACCCTGGACTAGATTCCTAGAAGTGGTATTACTGCATTACGATATATCAAGACTTTTATTCCTAAGTGTTTCTCTAACACCCCTGATACAATATTAAGATTGTAAAATTGTATCTGCACCAATCATTTATCCAACATTCACTGAGCTCCCACCGAATCCCAGGTGTGGCTAGATGCTTAGGGCAAGTCTCTGGCACAAGCAGCTGAAAAAACAGTGCTGGGAGAGAAAAAAGTAAAGCAGCAATTATAGTATAATTTTTGATCATTACAACTATGGAAAACTTAAAGAAAACACATGATCTTCATTTTTGGCTTTGTCAGTTTACAATATTCTTTGTGCAATATTAAACTTAAAAACTAACTGAATAATTGTCCAAAACAGCTAGGGGCCCCAGTCTTCCCTCTTCTGTGCTGGGTAAATTACTGGTAAGTCATTTAATTTCTTTCAGTTTTCTTCATTCACCCTTAAAATGCAATCTATTTGGTGGGGAGGGAGCAGGGAAGTGATTCTAATGGATAGGACTTTTTTTTTGGAAGGGGTGGAGTGATGCAATGTATTAAAATTGAGTAGTGATAGATAGTTGCACCACTCTGAACTTACTTAAAAAAAACACACACACACTTTAAATAGGTGAAATGTACGGTATATGAATTACAACCCAATAAAGCTGTTACTTTTTAAAAATAGAGACCAGTCTTATAATCAATGGCTGATGCTAAGAGGCCCCCGGGGCTAACTTACCGCGTCCCAAACCACCGCTGCGACTCCCAGTTGCTTCCAGTCCTGCCGGATCTGTATCGTGTGGTTTGCCAAGGAGAAGGTGGCAAGAGGCTTGTGAAATCTCTGCAGCCCCTTTTCCGCGGTCTCTTCATAGGGCACCAGGGCCATCTCGCCCGCGCCCAGCTCTCTGCTCGCTCAAAGCTGTGAGGCAAAAGAATCCTGAGTGAGGTTCTAGCCAGAAAATGCATTCTCTCTCTAGTAGCTCCAAATGCTTCTTAAGGCCGTTTTACAAGTTCAAAACAAACGGGGTTGCGGGAAGCCTTTGTCTAATTCCTTTTGCCTGGCTCTCCTGGGAAGTGAGATTTCGCTGGGAATTCATGCCAAAGGTGCGGGATGGCTATGCACTCAGCTGTAACCACTCAGGGAATTTGCAGCGTGGTAAGAGTGAGCGAGGCGCAGGTGACAGCCGGGGGCCGCAGAGAAAGTACCGCTTCCTAAACTGCCCAGGCCCGCGTGGACTGCGGCTGCAACCCGCTGCGGTCTGCAGGGCATTTTTTCGTGTTTTGTTCTTCCCTCACTCCCTCTAAATCGGTGCGTTCAATTGCGACCACCACGGACTCGAACCTAAACTTAAACTGGGGGGTTAACGGTATGATTATCCTGCTTTACAACACCGGCTGGAGATACACGGTCGACGCCGTTCCATTTCCTGGAGACTGAAAGTGAAAGACACTCGTGGATTCCGAGTCGCTCGCGGGTAGCGAAACCCCGGGTCCGCGTGGACTCGGGCATCCGCGGCTCGGAGGCCTCCCCAGAGTCGCCCAACCTGCCCCCCAGCCTGCCCCACTGAAGGGCCGACAGGTACGCACGTCCTTCCCGCGGGCCCGCAGCTGCGGGAACAGGCGAGGTAGGGGCGGGAGCTTGGAGAGGAGCCCCCCTCCAGCGGCGCTGGCCCGCCACACCCTGAGCTCCGCGGCACCGCGTCGCCTCCACTTACGGCTCGGGAGACGGCCTCCGCCTGTTGCGCGCGACGCTTTCCCCGCCCCCAGGTCGACGGCGGAAAAATCCGCCTTAAAGGGCCAGAGAGCCGGTAGACCGGCGTGCGTGAGGGCATGCGGGCGGCCCGCGCCGGGGTCACGCGTTTCCGGTCCCCCGCCTTCCCAGGACAAGCGCTCCCTGAGCGCCGGCGGCACGGAGTGGCGGGTGTGGGGCAGGGGCCTGGAACGGGGATGCCGCGGCGGGGCGGAGGCGGTGCTCCCTCCGCGTGTGTCCCCAAGGTATTTGGGCCCCCAAGTCAGTTTCTCTGGCTGCCGAGGGCAGAGCTGGCCGGGAGAGCTAGGTGCGGAGGCCGTGGGTGCCATGGCGACCGGGAACCCGGAAGCCACCTGCCTGGCGTTGGACAGGCGCTGGGTCCACTTGTATGTGTGCTCGTTCTCGCGCGCGCGCCTTTTTTGTGTGTGTTTTTCACTGTGTGCTTGCTTGTGTTTAGTTTTAACGGTGGTCAGTTAGGAGGTATAGGAGAAAACTCCCGCCGAAGAATACGTGGTCACACCCATCTGTATTCGTGTCACCAAAGTGAAGTCCGAATTGGCGTAATCGCGCGATCCGCGCCAGTAGAGTGGGAAACGTGACCAAGCCCTTCGCGGAGCCCGCACGTGGCTCCCGGGACTGGATTGTTATACGGGGCGGGGCGCGCTGTCGGCCCCAGTCACGGACTGGGTCTCCCTCCTCCCGGGGCAGAAGGTGAGCGCACCTGCCCTGGGGACACCTGTTCTTGAGGTGAGAGCTGCTGAGAGTGTGGCATCTGGCCGCAGGCCCCTGGGAAGCGCGCGGCTGGAGTGAACATCCAAGAATGTGACCGCGTTGGGGGACGGGGCGGGGGGCTCATCCTTCTCCCAGGAAGGTTTCTTTTTCCTCTCGGACCTTGACCCGCGACCCCACCGGCCGCCGCTCTCTCTTGGCGATTCTCAGCTCCGCCTGCACGTTAGGATGAACTGGAGCGCTTTTCAACTCCTCAGAGCTGGACGCTGCCACCGGAAAGGCTCAGCTGCTGCGCTGTGGGGCCCGAGCATTCCTGTTTTTCAGAGCTTCGCGGGTGATTCCTGCCGCCAGCCACCGGTAAGAGGCTCAGGCCAGGCCTAGACCACCCCCCTCTCCTCGCCTCTCGCATCCCGCTGGGGGCGTGCCCCGCTCTCTGTCCAGGTCTTAGAAGGCTGGGACCTGGGGCTGCAAAGATGGTTTGAAGTGAACTTTGAAGGTCACCAGTGAAGGTCTTTTACTTTTTTTTTCTTTCTTTGCTTTATTCAATTATTCATTTTTAACTTTTTTTTAATGTATTTTTGAGAGCAGTTTTAAGTTCACAGCAAAATTGGCAGAGATTTGTACAGAGATTTCCCAAACACTCCCCGCCCCATACACAGCCTCCCCACTTCTCAACATCTCCCAACAGAATGGTACATTTATTACAATTGATGAACCTACACTGACACATTATTAGAACCCAAAGGCCACAGTTTACACATGGGGGTTCACTGTTGGTGTTGTACACCTTATGAGCTTGGACGAATGCAGAAGATATGTATCTAGCATTATAGTATCATACAGAGTAGTTGCACTTCCTAAAAATCCTCGGTCCTCTACACATCCGTCCTTCCTCCATAACCTTTGGCAACCACTGACTTTTTTTTTTAACTCTCCATAGTTTTGCCTTTTACAGAATGTGATGTAGTTAGAATGATACAGTAGCCTTTTCAGACTGGCTTCCTTTGCTTAGTGTGCATTTAAGGTTCTTCCACGTCTTTTCATTGTTTGGTAGTCATTTCTTTTTAGTGCTGAATGACAAACATTCCATTGTATAGATGTAGTACAGTTTATCCATTTACCCAGTAAAGGACATCTTGGTTGCTTCCAGGTTTTGGCAATTATGAATAAAGCTGCTATAAACATTCCTGTACGGGCTTCTTTGTGGACATAAGTTTTCAGCTCCTTTGGGTAGATACCAAGGAGCATCATTGCTGAGTCATATGGTAAGAGTGTGTTTAGTTTTATAAGAAACTGCCAACTGTCTTCCAAAGTGACTGTACGATTTTGCAGTCCCACCAGAAATGAGAGTTCCTGTTGCTTCACACCCTTACCAGCATTTGGTGTCGTCAGTGTTTTGGATTTTAGCTATTCTAATGGGCTTGTAGTGGTACCTTGCTGTTGTTTTAATCTGCAGTTCCCTAATGACATATGATGTAGAGCATCTTTTTTTTCCAGTTTTGTTGAGATGTAATTGATATACAACGTTGTATTAGTTTATGGTATACAACATAATGACTTGATATATGTAAATACTGCAAAATGATTACCACAATAAGCTTAGTTAATATCCCTCATCTCACATAGTTACAATTTATTTCCTTGTGATGAGAACTTTTAAGATCTACTCTCTTAGCAAATTTCAAATGTACAAAACAGTATTGTTAACTACAGTTACCATTCTGTACATTACATCCCCAGAACTTATAACTGGAAGTTCGTGCCTTTTGATCACCTACACTCATTTCCCCCACCTCCCATCCTCTGCTTCTGGCCACCACCAATCTGTTCTCTATCTCTATGAGTCCTTTTTTTTTTTTTTTTTAGATTCCACATTTAAGTGAATATTTGTATCATATAGTATTTGTCTGTCTGACTTATTTCACTTACCATAATACCCCAAAGGTCATCCATGTTGTTGAAAATGGCAGGATTTCCTTCTTTTTTATGGCTGAATAATATTCCCTGTGGGGAGGTGTGTGTATACACACACACCACATTTTCTTCATTCATTCATCTGATGATGAAACTTAGGTTGCTCCCACGTCTTGGCTATTGTGAATAATGCTGCATTGAAAACGAGAATGCTGATATCTCTTGAAGACAGTGATTTCATTTCCTTCAGAGATATATGTACCCAGAAGTGAGATTGCTGGATTATATGTAATTCTGTTCTACTTTTTAATTTTTAGAGGAACATCCATACTGTTTTTCATAGTGGTTGTACCAATTTACATTCCTGCCAACAGTGCACAAGGGTTTCCTTTTCTCCACATTCTCACCAACACTTATTATCTCTTACCTTTTTGATAATAGCCGTTCAGCAGGTATGAGGTGATATCTCATTGTGGCATTGATTTGCATTCCTGTGATGATTAGTGATGCTGAGCACATTTTCATGTACCTGTTATTTGGACATTTTAAAATATGATTGTTTTCTTATTGTTAAGTTTTAAGAGTTCTTTGTATATTTTAGATAACAGTCCTTCATTAGATGTGTCTTTTGCAAATATTTTCTCCCAGTCTGTGGCTTGTCTTATTCTCTTGACAGTTTCTTTCACAGAGCAGAGGTGTTTAATTTTGTTTCACTTCTTCTCATTTTTGTGTCTCATTAGGTTTCCAGCCCTGATTTATTTTATTTATTTTTTTGGCCACACCACATGGCATGTGGGATCTTAGTTCCCCCACCAGGGATCAAAACCACACCCCCTGCAGTGGAAGCGCAGAGTCTTAACCACTGGACTGCCAGGGAAGTCTCCAGAAATGTTTAATTTTAATGGAAGTTCAGCTTATCAGTTATTTCTTTCATGTATCACGCCTTTGGTATTATACCTAAAACAGCATCACTTTACGCAAGGTCATCTAGGTTTTCTCCTATGTTATCTTCTAGGAGTTTTATAGTTTTACATTTTAATTTAAGTCTGTGATCCATAGCCAGTTAACTTTTGTGAAGGGTGTAGGTCTGTGTCTAGATTTAGTTTTTGCATGTGAATGTCCAGTTGTTCCAGCACCGTTTGTTGAAAAGACTATCTTTTTCTCCCTTGCATTGCCTTTGCCACTTTGTCAAAAATCTCTTGACTGTATTTATATGAGTCGATTCCTGGGCTCTCTATTCTGCTCCATCTATTTGTCTGTTCTTTCACCCCAATACCACACTGTCTTCATTACTACATTTTTACAGTAAGTCTGAAGTCAGATGGTATCAGTCCTCCAACTTTATTCTTCTCCTTCAATATTATTCATTTTTTCCTTTTTTATTTTGTATTTTTTTTTGGTCTTCTCTCCCTCTCCTTTCTTCTCTCCTAGTATCTCCTTTCTTTCTTACCTCCTCTACCTCTCTGTATTGCTTCTCCCTCTCAACTTTCCTTTCTTTAAACCTCCTGTCTCCTTATTTTCTCTTTTCCTCTTTGTTCCTTTCCTTTGGGGAGCCATCACTGGGCACGAGAAAAAGGATGTGCTTTGGAGCCAGAGGAACTATGAAAATTTAAATTCTGCCTCTGACAGTTTAATTGGTATGACCTTGAGTAATTACAGTTGACCCTTGAACAGCACGGGTTTGTACCATGCCGGTCCACTTATAGTCAGATTTTTTTCAATAGTAAATACTTCAGTACTACGTGACCTGCAGTTTGTTGAACCTGAGAATACAGGGGAACTGTGGATAGGAAGGGCTGACTATAAGTTATATGCAGATTTTTGATTGCACAGAGGGTCAGCACCCCTAACCCTCTTGTTGCTTAAGGGTTACCTGTACTATAAACATCCCAAGATCCCAGGTTCCTCATGCATAAAGCCTGTCACAGATTGTACCCCTCCCGCATTCCTTCTCCCCGCTCTCCATGGTTTCTGCTGAAATCATACATAGGACTTTATGAAACAAAACCAAACCTCCCAACCTCTCCAGCACTCCACTAAACTGACATAGGACATCTGTCTCATTAGATTTACTTACAGTTTATCTAGAAAGTTTTCATTTGCTTTTCCTTGTTAGTATTAGACAAGAGTGTCCTTTAGCCCAGCCAGTGTTCTGATTGGTAGCATTTGGCTCAGGGAGCACCAGAAAGAATGTTTAGGAACATATGCAACTCATGTAGACACTTAGTGTCTACTTGTTCTGTAAACATTAAGTGCAGCTCTATTTTTTTTTTAATGTATTTGTTTTATTTATTTATTTTTGGCTGCATTGGGTCTTTGTTGCTGGGTGCGGGCTTTCTCTAGTTGTGGCGAGTGGGGGCTACTCTTCGTTGTGGTGTGCGGGCTTCTCATTGCGGTGGCTTCTCTTGTTGCAGAGCACGGGCTCTAGGCACATGGTTCAGTAGTTGTGGCTCACGGCCTCAGTAGTTGTGGCTCACAGGCTCAGTAGTTGTGGCTCACGGGCTCTAGAGCACAGGCTCAGTAGTTGTGGCGCATGGGCCCTGTTGCTCCGCGGCATGTGGTATCTTCCTAGACCAGGGCTTGAACCCGTGTCCCCTGCATTAGCAGGCGGGTTCTTAACCACTGCACCACCAGGGAAGCCCTCTATTTTTTTTTTAATGCAGCTCTGTTTTTATCAGAATAAACCAAAACAGCCAGTGGTTCCCCGTGAATACTTGCAAATAAATTTTTAATCCTTGAAAACAAATTGGGCATGTGGTAGACTGCATTATTTTTAATACCCAGTCTGCCTTCTACAGACCTGTCCTAGTTGACCCTTCCCAAAGGAGGGATGTCTCCCCACCCTGTTGAAGTCAGGCTTGGCCACATGACTTGCTTTGGCCAATAGAAAGTGGGTGGAAATGACATTTGCCACCTATGAGCCACAGCAGGATTGCGCCTTTTCCCTTTGCTGAAGACCTGCAGGCCCCAGATGGGGGCGCTCCCTAACCCCATCCCCAGGTGGAGCAGAACCACAAACGACCCATAAAATATGTGAGCCACGAATGAGAAATAAACCTTTGTTGAGCTAACCATTGAGACTGGGGTTTGTTACATAGTATAACTCAGCAGAAGCTGTCAGAACACAGGTGTGAAAGGGACGGAAATTTCAAAACAGGTAGGAGCATTTAATGCGGGTGGCTTAGTTTCAGTAAAGTCATCCTTTTTTGGAGCTCCCCCTAGCTCATAATGACACCTTAATTGCCCCACACCTGTCCCCCTCCCCCTTGTCAGCATCACCTGAAACTACTGACCGCCTTTATCCAACTGTGATTCTAAGGCTTGAAGAATGTTTTCCTACTTAGGACAGTCTTGTGGGAGATGTGCAAAAGGTAGACTCACTTTGGATTATCTGTAAATCCACAACGTGGCTCAATCATAATATAACAATCTGTAAATCTGTG